ACAACAAAATCGAAATTTGAAAAAGAAATTATTCAGGCATATCTGGGTTAATATCTACGTAACACACCAGAGTTAGGTACTACCTGGACCTATAGAGATAGAGTAGGCCCTGGCACTATTTATACCCTACACAGTGAACAATTTTCCGGTGTAATTTCAATCGAGTGGATTTCAGGAATAACTTCAATTGAATCAACACTTCATTAGCAATATTATTTCAATATTATTAAAAATATGTATTGGTGTCAATTCACACCTTCATAGTGAAAAATTACACGGATGTCATAATTTTTAGAGGGGATCTGAAATATCCATTCAAAAGGAACACTAAAAGGATGAAAAGTAATCACCTTCGATAGTGGTATTATTCAAGTAAACGCAAAAGATATACTTATTATATGAAATTAACACTTAGTTACACCCTGACCAATCACGAATAAATCAAAACCGTGTATGAATCATGAGATTTGGGGGATATGTGAATAAATAATATTTCTGATTTTTAGATGTATAATAAATTGATATTCATCATACAGGACGTGGAAAGAAATTTTGAATTGAGAAAACCTAATCACGAATCTGCGATTGAGGTCTATAAATATAACAAGTTTCCATCGTTCAAGTTTGAACCCCTTGATTGGGTGAAAGTATTGAAAAGGAATATTCTCAGATATAATTATGAACATAGAAAAATGGATATATGAAGAAATACATATCGAAGATAGCTGGGATACAGTGGGGGGTCCCAGAATGCAACATTTTCGATTTCGCCCTATATCTCAAAAACGAAGTTTGCTATGAAAATTTCATTGCGATATCGAGAGTTTCACAAAAAAGTAGCCAACGTTCGCGCCCCTGAGACCTTTGCTCAGGCACCTTTTGGCGCAATGGTTGATGGCATGTATTTCAGCTTCGAAGATAGTGGGGAAGTGACCTAAGGCTTCAAATAGCCTACATCCGGGTCCATATAAACCCGCGCCTACCCCTTCTTCCATTTTCGAACCATCGGTGTACCAAACAAGGGACCCTCTGTCCAGCTGAGGCTCAGCGGAACGGTACCTAGGGCGGCTTTTTATAACCATTTCAAAGGTATGATCGAAACTGAGCCTGGCTGGCATTATGTCCGATGGTTTGGTTGCAAATTCCATTCGTACTTCTTGTAGAATGACCATGTGACCAGTGACATCACCTGGTCTGGCCAATTCAGTGGAGTTCAGTCTGTATTCAATGAGAGCTGCAGTCCTCTTGATAAAAATATGCAAGGGTAGTAGGTCAAGCATATCTTCTATTGCTGCCCTCTTAATCTCTTTTGTTTTCCACCCAACAAAATGAATGTTTTACAGATTTCATGCAATTATTTTCCATATAGGTTCCAATCATAGTGACTGTTGTAATATCTCTTCAAATATACAGAGAATTCAGAAAATGTATGCACCTATTAAATGGAATGCGCTGTATATTCTGATAGATATAAATCTTTTATATCATATATTTGAAATCAGGGTGAATTGAGGAATCCAAATCTATGAAAATATACGGCGCATTCCATTTGAAAAAAATATATTTTTCTGTATACCCTGTATCTTTGAAAAGATATTGCAACATTGTCAATATGAGTGAAATCTGTATAAGAAATTGTATAAAATCAGCTTCAATTCATTTTCAATGAGTGTGAAACAAAAAAGATAAATATCACATTAATAGATAGATAGATAGATTTATTTGTTTCAAAAACATACAGTTTAAGAAAAAAACGTCAAAATTAGGCTAAAGTACATAAATAAATAAATATCGTAGGTATAAAACAAACATAATAATATACAAGATTTCACAGGTACATAAACATAAAAAGTATATGAACGTCTACTCTAAAAACATTATTCATCAGTCAGCGATGATTGGATCACAGAAGAATTCATCCAAGGTGTAATAAGATTTTTTCAGGAGCAAGTTTTTCATTTTATTCTTGAATTGGAATTTATTTTTTGATTCTTGTATAGATTTTGGTAGGCAATTGTATAATTTACATCCATTGTAATATAAACTTTTCTGATACCGAGCAGATGAGTGTTGAGGAGGCAACAGATAATCTTTGTTCCTTGTATTGTAATTATGTTCGACTTTTTCAGTCTCAAAATAACGTTTTTATGATTAAATACAAAACAGGTTACTTCATAAATGTAAAGGGAAATCATTGTGAAGATACCCAGTTTTTTAAAATATTCCCTGCATGAATCTCTTGCTCTCAGATTTCCCAAGATACGGACAGCCCTTTTTTGTAAGGTGAAGGCCCTATGAGCTTCTGCGGAATTCGCCCAATGCATGATTCCATATTTTAAATTTGAGTGGAAGCATCCGAAATACAATTGTTTAATTATTTCTCTACTACATTGTTGTGATGAAATGGAAAGGGCATAGCATATCCTAGCTAGCTTCGAACACAAACTATCTACATGTCCATACCACTCCAGGTTACTTTCTAAAATAACACCAAGCAATTTAGTATTTAGAGCGCAGTTGATTTCTGTATTATTTAGAGTTATGTGGTTAGGATATTCTGAACCAGAAGATTTGAAAATAACACAGGTCGATTTATTATTATTCAGACAAAGCTTGTTCACATCAACCCACTTGCAAACATTTATGTAAACTAGTTCGGCCTGTTTTTTTGCATTATAAACAGTGTCTGAAATGAACAGAAAGTTTGTATCATCAGCATAAGCTACTACTTGAGTAGAGTGTGATCTCATTGATTCAATTAAATCGTTGATATATATAATAAAGAGTGTTGGACCAAGAATGGATCCTTGAGGCACACCTTTATTCACAGATTTCAAATCAGAAATATAGTTATTACATTTAACCTGCTGTTGTCTATCAGTCAGATATGATGCGAACCATTGGAGAGTAACTCCACGAATTCCATATCTCTCCAATTTATACAGAAGAATATCATGCCGAACACAGTCAAATGCCTTGGAAAAATCTATAAATAACCCTTGTGCCACTTGTTTATCATCGAGAGCTTTATATATATTATTTAAAAATTCACAAAGTGCAGTGTCAGTGTTTTTATTCTTCGTGAAACCATGTTGGCATAGAGACAAGTTACCATTGAATGTTAAAAAGTTAATGATATTCTTGTTGACGACAGCTTCAAAAATTTTACCTATGCTTGAGCATAAAGTAATAGCCCTATAATTATCCACAGTATTTGAATCACCTTTTTTGTGAAGAGGAATGACATTGGATATCTTCAGCCTAGAAGGAAATACTCCTTGCTGGAGGGATAAATTGATAATGTGAGTGAGAGGTACAACAATATGTTCAGCGATTTCCTTCAACAGTACATAAACCATCATAACCTGAACAATTTCCATCACATCTTGACATTGCACTGGTGCAAAAAATATATTTTGGATAGAGGCACTGATGCAGGTATCAATATATGTGTAGTCTACAGTAGATGAGAGGTCACAAGTGACTTGGGAAGCTAGAGATGAGAAAAATTCATTGAAAGCATTTGCACAATCACCACCTACTAAAATCTCATTATCAATGCATAACTCAATTGGGTGATATTTTTTTGTTTTACGTCCAGTTATAGTATTGACGACATCCCAAATTGCTCTATTTTTATTTGTAGACTTAGACACCTTGTTATCAAAGAGCAATTTTTTGTTCTCAGAAAGGGTTTTTTGATATAATTTATTTTTATCATTGAATATATCTCTATATTCAGGATATATCCTACCTAGATCTCCATACAATGAGACCTCCGCTTTCAGCTGAAGTAATTCTGGTGTCATTAAAAAATTATTTATTCTACATTTATTATACCTAAGCAATGGGAAAGAAATTTCAAAATGATAATTCATAGTATCCATGAACTTATTGAAGGAAATATCACATTCAGGTTCTCTGTATAATTCATATAATAATAAAACTAGCCCTGTACATCACCAAAATCCCTGGAGCGGATCTGCAAATTGTCGTGGATTTTGATACTGAATCTATCTTTATGACAGGTATGGTCTGCTCTTCACTTTGAGAAAATCCATCCATTTCACTACATCTCCGTGTAAGGACTATGAAGGAAGGAGACTCAGTCACGGACTCAGTTCGAAGAAGCTCTTTTGGTCGATTCATTCTTCATTTAATGCCTACATAATCGATTCAATAGTTTCAAGTAGGATTCTGTGGACGAATGAACTCAACTTTCCTCGTGAAGGGATCAATTACTATGAAGACCTGATGCAATATTGTGCAGAAAGAAAGCCTCACATGAAGAAACAAACTCCGTTCCAATGAGAATTTATTGTAAACGTTGGGCAGGTATAGTGGGCATAGCTTTTATTGGCCCATATTTTTTGCCACCCAATTTGAACGGTGAAAGATTTCAATATTCAATTCATAATCAATTTCCTGAATATTGGATATGGCGAAATGGACCAATATAGATCTCCAGGTTTGACCCCCGTCGACCATTATGTCTGGAAACGGATGAAGGAACTTGTTTTCAATACCTGCATGTCATTCTGATATTTCCTATCGTTATATCTTGCAATTTTTTCCCAATAAATTTTTTTTGTTCATAATTATTATGCAACATTGAGTTTTTGTCGAATACCATGGATATTTTCGAAGATATCTTAACGTTACCCTCCAAAGTCGAAGTCGGATGCTACAGTTAATCATTTTTTTGAATTCTATGTGGATTCCATTATGTGTTCAATATCGATGAAAAACGTATTTAACTTCATAGGCAAGAATAATCAGATAAAACGTTCGACAGAACTTTAACCTAACCTGATACTTAGGGACCTATTCATCAAATTATATAAAATTTGAAAAAACGATGATATCTCGAAATGCGTGGCACTTTGTATAATAGAATATATGGTTAGATACTCTCTTCCGTATATACGTTGGCGAACTAGGAGAACGGAAGTAGATAGTAGATGTTATAAAAGTGTTATCAAAACCGCACAATAACTTACCTTACTAGCATCTTCGGAGTCCAAAGAACTTTCTATGTATTCTTTCTCTTCTTTAGATATGGTTTTGTGTTCTGCTGGACTGCTAGCACCAAATATTGCGTAGAAAAATACCCAGGTGTATCCTAATGCACCAATTATATAAAACGAAGATTCCCATCCTATCCAAGAAGAACATAATATTCCGACTACTACCATAGTCACGATTGTACCAAAAGATGAACCTGAAAGATTCGAGACCGTTTGTATACTATGATAATGCCTCAGAAGATTTCGAAAGCAAATATATTTCCGAATATTCTGCCAAATCTCTGATGATGAACAAGAAAATGAAAAAGTTTACATAAAAAAAAGTCGCAGAAGGCTTCAATTGCGAGATACAGAATGTTTAAGTTGAGAATAAAAAATAATTCCCATTGAATTTCTAGATAACCGGTGAACAAAAATTCTTGATATTTTGCCCTCGGCAACCTCTTCCCATGAAATTGTGACGCCTTTCATTACTTCTTTGTGCGGTTGCCGAGAGCACTATTTTTGCACCAAATGTCCGCCGGGATATTCTCAACGAGGTCTAAGAAGAAATTCACATGCAATACCTTCAGGCGTGTTCTTTGGGAAATTCGCATACAAAACCTTGTTCCGATTACTTTGAGAGATTCGCATCAATTATTGCCACTGGTGCGATCTCCAAGTATTCACAGAACCGAATTATTCGAGATATTCGCACACATAGCCTTTTGGCGAGTACTTCAGGAGATTCGCATCAATTCCTTCTGACGAGGTTTGTAAGTGTTCGCAATCAGGTGTTATTTGATATATTCCTACACATAGGATATTCGGAGTATTTGCGTCAATTTACCATCAACTACGAGTGAACCAAGTTATTCACGAAAAATGCTCCTGTCGAGGTCTCTTAGATTTCGCATCACGAACTGGTCAAGACATTCTCATGAGTATCATTTTGCGAGTTCCTCGAGATATCCTTGTTTTCATTTAAGTTAACAAGGATTTTCGAGGTATTCGTAGACTACCAGCAGTCGGTTGTCGGCATAGTGTAACTAACGCCAGCTATTTTGAATCCAGCTAAGAAGAATTTCCATTTTGTTCCAGCCCGGGAACGTAAATTGAAGCTCACGGGCTCTAGCGCCTTCGAAATGGAAGCATAGATTTTTTTTTATTCAGGTTAATTTCGTAATAACTTTGGAGATTCGTTGGAAATGAAATCGATGAATGAGAGGTGAGGTTTGAAAGACTTGTACATGGGACTTCAAGAAGAAATTCGCTTAGTTACAGTACATAGCGATCTTTACTACCTCTCGATAGGAGTTCGCATATGATCCTGATGTTGATCTCTCTGAGATCTCGCGGAGAGGTTTGTGTTACCTGGGTGGTGAATCACTCAGTAGCTGAGAGTGATTGAATCGGTAGCATTATTTAGTCCTTACTAGATAATACTCGGAATAATCTCCCCAACATTTTGAACGATCAAATCAATTAGTTAAAATGTCGTGGAGAAAATTTCGAGAATTATCCAGTAGTAACTACTTCACCTCACTTTGAGAAATCATGGACCTCTACCAAAGATTATTATTTAGTCAATCTGACTCCCAATGGCACCGTTAAGGGGTATTAATGTGTGATTTTTCAGGAAAAACATGGCTGGCGATGAAAATTCTCGAAATTTTATCCGAAAATATGGAAGTATGAAACTTTGTAGGAAAAAGCTCCAAGTGTTGAAACTCATGAAGATACACTGTTTTCGAGAAAAACCGAATAACCAAATTCAACTCCAAAATTCGATTTAGTTTTTGGATAGTCCATTCAAGACATCTGTTTAGGTTACTCTATAACCATGATAGATATTATTCTGTGATTGTGTCAACTATGCCAGTCACAAAACAGAAGGAAATTTTTCCACCAAGAATTATATACAGGGTGGACATAAAACAATTTTATGAATATTTGCAACTGTAACGTCCTGTATATATATCTCGCAAACGAAACCTTTTACGGCCTGTGTTTAGGGGATCTTCTCTATTTTCTCGAGACGCCCTATCACCTTTTGAAGTGGGTCCCACATATAACGAAACACCCTGTTTACAAAACTATAATAATATAAAATAGTTCATCATGGAACCAGAAATGTTTCTTCGGGAAGTTACAGCCTCTAAAGATTAGCCACTGAGAATGATGATCATCCAATATATCCTAGACAGTTCATTCGAAGTTTGGCACCATTGAGAATGATATAATTTTTGGTCAGATGGTATAGGAAGATTCTGGAAAAATCATCAAAAATTTACTCAAATCAAGCAGATGGAAATCGTGAGTGTGGAAATAACTATAGCTCTCTTGCACAATTTTATACGTGAAAAAGTTATCTGGTTGGCAGATACATTCAAATCCAGAACAAATTTCAAAAGCGAAAATCTCAAGTAGCAAACATATATTTGGACAATATCGGCGCAATATTACGAAAATACCAGCTGAATTTTGAAAGTGATATTGGCGAGAAACAAAATGTGAACATTTGGCGATATATTATAGTTTCAAAATGTGTGTGAAATATTGAGAAACAGCATGTTGCAATTTTGTCTTGAAAACATTGGTGACATTTTTTCCACACCAATAATATTGATTGAATAGTCTTAGAGTTATATTGGTCTCAAAATGGAAAATAAATATTGGCGAGAAGTAAAAATTGAACATTCGAAAATATTGTTGCAATATCAGTTGAAAATATTGGCGGAAATATTGCTATGTTCTCTCCTCTTGGAATTATTGGTGAAATATGTTTATATCAATGTTGGCGCGACATGAAATGTGAACATCTGGTGATATTCGCCTGGTTGTGAGGAAACCGCCTTGTTGATCACGGTTAACCCCTACGCCAGGTAAGCATACACAAAATACATTCGATAGACCTCCAAGTAGATAGGATGACCTTGAACAATATTATCAGTTCAGCCACCAAACAATAGATGTCCTTTTGACATAATGATCCGTGATCTGTGGTAGCGCGCAGGCGTCGCAGGTACAGGCACATCGGTTTCGAAATGGAGTCCATATTTTGTTTGCCGAATGACGATTGGCATGTCTTCTTCGTTGTGATTTTTTCCCATTCAGAAATGAGATTTTTTCGTTTCAAAGTGCTATTTTTTCGATTTTTCACCAATTATCTCATTTTTCAATCAAAAGTAAAGAAATAAATCAACAATATAGTCGACTTTTGATCCGAACAAAAGTGAAGTTTAGGACTAGACAAGTGTGCAGTGCAAGGACTTTCCAGACATCGTTTTCCAAATCTTAAGAAAATCTTACCAGGTTTCTAGATAGTGGATAAAGTGATTGAATATCCTGTAATGATTGTTCAGTTTTACTTTATTACTGTTTTCATGACCTAATTAAGAAATGATTCATTTTGATTCATTGCTCTCATTTTTTATGAACATTCTCATTCCAGTATCTGTGAATAGTTGAAAGAGAAGAGATGGAAGCATGTAAGGCATATGACATTTCATCTCCTTCGCTATTCACAAGGGCTTCTCTTGAGTAAAATATTTGAATACAACATAATATGGATTATTCAAAATTCCCGCTACTCGAAATAGTTGAGTTACCAAACACCATCAGAGGCGCTGGCAAAATGGATGAAGAGGTATACATGTACGTGTTGGACAACTATAGAGAGAAGTTGATTCATGTATGCTTCTCAATCGTCTCGCCAATTTTTATATTCTCTCGTCTGAGCGGCACGAAGAGTACGTTAACAAGCATTTATAGAGCGCCATCTATCGATGTCGGTTTGAGAGTGATATTAAATAAATATCGAAATTCCGATATCGATATGTATCTCAAAAACAATATGTTAACAATTTTGCTCCTATGACAGAGTGAATCAGATATTAACCAATATAGTATAATATTATACTTTTTGAATATGGCTGGAAAATTATTCAACTGATATGCAATTGACCTCGGAAATACAATATTGTTTTGAATATCGAATTGCCGGTAGAGATATCCATATCTGAAACAATAAGCTTTCAATATCTTCTGTATGATAAAGTTGAAACGATATCAATCAATATAGATATTTATGATGTTTCTGATATTGTTCAAATATTCATCCAATGTGCCATCCATTTTGAATATACAATATTGCATAACTGCTCCAGAATGTACATGGGGAGAATGTTCAAATTGCAATATTGGTTGGAAACAATAATATGTATACGATGTCGTTGTATAGTCGTTGTACCGCCATTTGCGAAACAATTAATATTATATAATATTTACACATATATATTTTCTACATATTGTCATCAAATTTTCCAACCCAATATTATTTCATTTTTGTAGCTGACAAATCAAAATTCAGCTCGGGTTGAACTAATATTCTACCAATATTATCTTTACAATATTGTATTCTCTATATACTCCCATATAGGACAAATATTGTTTCAATACAGTATACTCTCACCGGCAAACAAAACCGACCACCAAAAAATTTGCCCAAATTGTTCATTCTTCAAATTTTTTAATTCTTGTCCGAATCTTGTTGAATTTTGCTCAAATTGTAGATTCATATTCGGGAATGTTAGCCTAAATATTAGTTTCCTTGTAAAGCTGATGACTTGATCGTTATACACGAAAAAACGAATGTTACTATTTCGCCATCTACTTCTTAACGCCCTGTGGCGGAATTGAGTTGTTGAACTAGGCTTCATTATGCTTTGGATTGAAGTGTGATTCCTTCTCAATACAATCGTTTTTGATTCAAGTCAATATCTTATTTTTTAGAGAAGATACGAGTGTTTCAAGAAAGTATAGCATTTTTCAATTTTCATTAACAATAATCAGAACCTATATAAATTCATTGATCAACAACTTGAGGAATCATTATCACTTATGTCCACCTCATTTTCTTAGCATTTAATCAAAAAAAAACTCAATTACAAAAAAGAAACAAAAAGCAGACCTTTAGTCGATAGCGAGTATGCCCTTCTTGAGCTTGAATTCGAGCATTCAACCGCCGTGGCATCAAGTTGATCAAATTTCTGAAGTGGTCTTGAAGAATAGCCTAAAATTCTCCTTGACCGGCGAATCGTAGCTCTCAAAGTCTCTGACAAGGCCAAACTAAGGCGAATGAGCCTCTGTAGTTCATCTCTAAGGTACTCTATAGGTTCTGAATTATTGTTGAAAAAAAGTTTAAAAATCCATTCTTTCTCAAAACACTTGTATCTTTTCCGAAAAGAAGATATTGTCGTGAATCAAGGACCGTTGTGTTGAGAAGGGGCGAAAATGGATTACACTTCAAATTAATACATGATGGATCAGAATGTTGAAGAATGGTTCTGAATTATTGATAATAAAAATGAAAATATATATTTTTTCTCAAAACACTTGCATCTTTTCTTAAAGAGTGTTAATCGAAGTGAATCACGAACCATTTAACAGTCACAACTCCACCACATAAGGACATGTTTGGAAGGATTGATCCTTCATCATCATAAAAAGAAGGAAATCTGTAGGAAGAAACAACGCATATGTTAGTTTTCAAGTGTGAAAAAAGATTACTTAAATAACCCAAAAAACTATTTTTAAACCTCGCATAGTGCGGGTGGGTAACTGTTAGCGAACAGACACATTATAACAGCTCCATAAGAGACTAGTTTCCAAATATTGTTTTAATAGAGAGAAAATATTTGAATGAACCAACATGTGGGTAGAACACAGAACAGAATTATAGTTAAAATAATAAGGGGTTAAATAATTCAAGACTATCGAATTGAGTTTGTTCATTGAGGCAGTTGAGGTTAGAATTTTTGACAGCTTTATTGATTCCCAAGGTTTCAAGGAGGTTCAGTTTCTTTACTTTGTCACAGATATGTAAAATTCCAATGTAAGAATCGGAATCAAATGAGTGTTAGACATTGATAATATGGCTAGGAAAAACAGAATTTGACTCGAAAAACTCTTTTTAAAATTAGTTGCTATGATACGATTGTGTTCTGATACTCTGGTTTTGAATTTGTTACCTGTTTGACCACTGTAGCAAACTTTACAATCATCATTCTTGCAATTCAATTTATAAACACCAGATTTTCATAGAATAGCAATCTCATCTTTTGTGTTGACTAAGGCAATCCCTAGAGTGTTGGCGGTTTTGAAAGAAAAATTAAGATTACTGATATTATATCATCTTCACTGTAAGTTATGGATCACCTACGTTGGTTGAGAACCATTGTGTTGAGAAGGGATCACACATCAATCCCAAACATATAATGAACCTGAATTTAAGTACTCATCTCTGTAAATTTTGTTTCTCCCTGTATAATATTCAAGCCATCATCTTTTCCCAGGATATTCTGTTCAGGCTAACATTTCGAAACATGAATACATGATTTTGTAGAAATTTCACGAGAATCGGACGAAAATTGAAAATGTTACAGGGCGAACAATTTGTCTGAATTTTTTGATGGCAGGTTTTTTTTGCCGGTGAGTGTATCTATATCGGCGCAATATGAAATCAGGATTCAGCCAATTGGATGTGCTACCTGAATGATAAAAAATATTGTTTGACGCTCGTACCTGAAAAAGCTACAGTACTGAGGACACTTCTTTCCTCGGAAGGTGCCCATTTTCCTAGTATATTATGACTAGAAGGGTAGAAGAATCCCTGTGATAGACCTTGAAGTGCTCGGGAGCCCATTACGCCGTAAGATCCGAGCAAACTAGCCATCAAAGGAACCAGCATGTTAATCGTCGAATTCACTGTCATTGCTACAAGCAGAAACTTTCTGGCGCCATATCTTTTAGCCAGTTCTGCAGCGAACACTTGGAGTACGATGTATCCCCAATAGAAGGAGGATAATATTACACTTTTGTTATCCCAGTCATAGGTCTGTGAACATTTCGAAAATGTGATGGTGACCATTTGGTTTTAATGAGATAAATGAATAACTATATTCAAATACTAGAATTAACACTCCCTATCCTCTCTAGGTGCGCACGATGTTCTCCGAACATTATAGGGTATTTCCGCGCGCTCAAAGAGACGAAAAAAAAAAAGACTCAATCTATATACGACGGATATTTCGCATTTCGATATTATTCAGAACTTTTACGCATGATTGCCTTTTTAATCTTTCCGAGATATTATTGCCACGCGTACTATAATAAAGAATCATTGCCTCGGACAAACGAAATAAATTTGGCGATAACGTGGTCTTTTCAATATGTATTTCAAAATTGCAAGACGACAAAATTATTTTGATTATCACAATAAGTTACCCTAATAACACACCTATGTCCCATGGATATCCTTAGGACGTCCTGTCGGACGTTCACATTTGGTACCGTGGACGTCCATTGGATGTGTGTGGGACGCACAAATGTCCCACTTGAGGACCAATTAGGGACGTCCTTGAGGGATGTCCCTGGGGCAACTATCAAATACCTGAATCCTACAGTATTCTTCATCAAGCACTACAGAGGACATCCTCAGGACATCCATAGGACCAGATCTTGCATAACTGATTAGGACATCCAGTTGAGTAGAAGGTCCCCAAAAAGTTTCCCAAGGATGTCCAATGGACTTACGTGAAGGACATTGACGAGGATTAATTATAGCCTACGAGCAATCATTCGTCGGCGGACGTCCAAGGACGTCCTTACATGGACATTCTACAATATGTGCCACGTGGGACGTCTAAGGGATGCTATTTCTAGGACATTTGAAATGATGTACCAGCTAGGACATTCCGTGGACGTCCTTGCTCGGACATTGCTTAAGATGTACGGGATGATCGAGACGACCCAAGGACACTTATTTTTGGTTCGGGATATTCGGACGTGAATTGTATCAAATAGGGACGCCCCTAGGAGGTTGTGTGCTATTAGGGTACGCCAATCTAGTGCAATATTGTTCAGTCTGATTTATGTGTTCGACTGATATTGACGCGTTTTCAGCACTGTTTTTGTAACGTTGGAAGACGCTGCAAAATCTCTGAGAGCGATGATTTCCTTTTTGTCCATAGAAAGAATGTGCGAAAACATCAGAAATAATTATTCAGCGTCTGCAAACTCACTAAATACTCCTTGCAGGCGCTGAATAATTTCTGTTTTCACACCTTGTTTCCACAAAAAGAAAATGATTGCTCTTGATGATTTTACTGCGTACCAAGACCAACCTTTCATTGTTAAATAAACAGTGCTAGTGCTATGCCAACGTGCCTATATCAGCCGAAGATATTAATCAGACTGAACAATATTGCACTGACTAGATAGTTGCATGAACATGTCAAGACTTGTCTAGCCTCAATAACATTGCCTATAAGTTCTGCGTTATTTAATTATATAGCACAATTCCAAGAACTTTGGAAACACCCTTCGTACACTATCAGATTATGATATACAATATTGTTTTTCTACGGCTTCCACACACGATTGCTCTTGTTTTACTGTGTTCGATACAACAATGAAGTACTTTGCATGGCATCAATTTTATTTCCGTATCTGATATATTATCACAATGACTCCATTGTGTTATTATTTCAAAAGAAACTCATCGCCCATAGAATGTCAAAGTTCAAGCAATGACAACTCCGTCTGATAGATGAGCATCACTCGACAGGAAATCAGATGGCATTTTCCGATCGAGGCGAGCGTCCCCTATACGAATGATCATCAATAATTCTACCATCCTTGGTATTTGAAAAAAAAATCAACTCCTGTATACTTCCAGAATTGACAACTCAATTTATTAGGTACATTTAGAAATTTCAATCCTGATATTCCATTTGTCAGAGCTCTAATTTTAATTTTCAATCTAGAGAGCTTCAAAGTCCCCTAACCTTCCGTGACTAACGAGCCCGCATCGCCAAAAACTAACCGGTATTTAACGAACGATTCTGAGTAGGCGGCTGGTACGGCTAAGTATCTGTTGCCGTTGGGGTCATGAAAATGGTGTTGAGAGGTGAACAGAGCAGGTTGCTGCGTGTTCGAGTTGGCTCCTTATGCAGACTGTCACTCCGCACGTTTAGTGTCAATGGTAATTTGTTTAGGTGAATATTTTTGGTTGCTTTCTACTTCCTGCAGATCATTGAACCTAAATATGGGATTACAGAGTGCTTGTAATGAGTTAAGTACAAGACTATCTTTGCAAATTTTACGTCGATATTGAGACTGATATCTACACAGAACGAAAAAGGTACGTTATATTAATAAAAAAGTACATCAAATCAGTGAACGTCAACATTAATTTTGGGCCGATGACGGGTTTCATTAATACAATGAACGGTCGTACGTAAATTTTCTTGTTGATTGAGTTATGACTGCAGTACGTTGAATCAACGAATAATGGTCATGGATCTATGTTTGCCGGTGATTGATATTACGAATGGATTTACATTGGTTCATGGTTGTTGTACATTGAATCAATAAACAGCGAGCATGGATCTATGATGATAAACATTGGTTTATGGTTGATGTACATTGTATCAATTAACAGTGAGCATGAATATGTAAGTGCCAGTTACGAAGGACAGACTCAGTTTATCACAGCTGAACATTGAATCAATAATCAGCTAGCATGGATCTATGATCGGCGGTTATTGATATTACGAACGATAGACATCACTTGATGATTTTCTTCATTGAATCAATGAAAAATGAGCATGAATCTATGTTCGACAGTTATAGATGTAACGAACAAATTCTATTGGTATTTAACAGTGGTACAGTCGTCGTCGAAGATAATGTTGACAACAGTATCGTCACTATCAGTAATAAGGGGACAATTTTTTCACGCATCAGAGTAATTAATTTCTAAAATTTTGAAAAACCCAAAATCGGCCCAAAATTATCTAGTACATCCACTTATTTGATGTGACCTGATGAATAATATAATATATACATTTACAAGGCAGTCGCAGAACACTGGTTTTCTTAATGAAATGTCTTTTTTTTTTTGTTGAAATCTACCTAATTGTATTGAATAACAAATGTAATGAATATTTTTTAATGAAGTCAACTAAAAATGTTTCCGAAATATCAAAAATACACTGAATGATCGAAGACTGATAAACTTGGACGATATTCAAAAAACAAATATTCGCTCACCCTATACATTTTTTGTCGGAATAAACAAATTTTGCCCTTTCCATTCATTATAATATAATTATAACTAAGTACCTGATAATAAGGGAAATGTTACACAGATATCTCTGCTATAATTCAATCACAAGTAATACCAGTCAGACGAACTCGACAGGCCCAGTCAGCACATTCTTTCTTTGTTAACTTTGAAATATGTTGAACTACACTCTACCAAAACTCGTTCGTCCATAGAACGGCGAAGCTTTGGAATTATTTGCCAATGTAAGTATTTTCAAGAACTAATAACCTCCAGAAGTCAAAAAAAAAATCCCAACACCTATACCCCCTCTCCCTATACAAGGCAATGGAAATTTTGTCAAATCAGGCAAAATACTGATCTGAACACCTAATTAACTTGATTTTCATTTTCTGTAGAAAATAAAATGATATCAATGTGATGACAATAACCAGTAGTTGTTGAAAGAATAGTACCTTGTGCATCCCACGAGTACCTACCCAGCAAACATTTTGATTTGGGTACAACATAATCGACACATTAAGTTGCCCATAGCAAGCCCAGCATAAATATAAATGATGGGACTGTAATGGCCAATTAACGACATTGGTTACATATTAACGAGGTAGGGGGAGGGGTAGGAGGAGGGGTAGAGGGAAGGGTAGGGGTTTCAGGGGTCCAATTGATCTGGAAGTTCTAGTAACTCAATATATTTTCTGATGTTTATCATCATATTATATGAAATACACACATACCAGATTTCAAGGAAACAATTTATGAATGACACAATGATATCTTCTTAACCTCTCTCTTCTTCCATGATGAAACTCCTCAGAGTGACTGCTTACTGGCTGGTATATCTACATCTTCATCTCATTTGGGAAGCATTCCTCCAAAATAGATTCTTCGTTGCGAGGTAGGTACTTCTGAAATATAAAATTCTTCATAAGTTATCATGAAGTGGCCTTTCTTGATGTCAGAATTCTTTCTTCATAGAAGTATGAGAAACAAAATACTCTGTTACATGAGTTCATAACTTGATCAATATATAGTCTGATTACGTGATATATACTTACATATGGAGGCACAGGCCTTATTGTTATTCACTTCAATGATAGAGACAGGTTTCCATAACCAAATATTACTTCTGATAGTAACGAACCAAGCAGAGTCCATGATAGTTACGCTTCTGGAGAGGTAGGAGCCACTACAATTATTATCATCACAAACACATGCATTTCATAACAAAATCTGGAACACTAGATAGGTAGATTGATACTTACTCAATACATATTATCATCATTGAAGAATCCATCTTCTATATTATCAATTGAGAATACTCCTGCCACCATAACTGCCATTATAACGACCAGGGAAAGTGATGAGCACAATGATATGACAACAAACCAGAGAAAAACGAAACATACGCTATCACTAGAGTGACATATAATAATTATCCAAATGATCAGCTGATTGTTGATGTAGACGTTCCCAGAAAATCCCCCAGTGGGACGAGTATAGTGAACAGGATATTGGCCAGCAAGGGGCCACAACTCGTTATTGCTCAACTCGTTCTATACATCATACCATCACAAGGCCATCATCGTATTTTCAACTGATGGTTACTTAGCATAGAGAAATCATCGGACATCACCAATACACCGGCATCGACACTTTCTCACACTTGCCTGCACTAGGCCGGAATTCTCCCGGTAGTTCAATGTTTGCTGAGTTAATATATCCTAATCGTAAGAATTGTGAGAAAAGTAATTCAAAATTAACAGGACTCACCTTTCTCAAATATGTTAGGTTTAGTATCCCATTGATCTGGCACAATTTCACAAATAGGTAGGAATTCTATACGAGCCACAGAAACACAAAACACGACCCAGCACTTTCAACTTTTCATTAACAACTGAACGAATAGAAATAAAATGAAATGGCAAATGGAAAATTCACCGCGTATTATGAAACCTTTTCATAGTATTAATGTTTGGCGTGATTGATCCATGGGTAGGCAACATTAATTTGGCGCCTGTTTTGGAAGTTGATGTTTCATTTCATGGAATCAACGTTTAGTGTTCATTGAAACAATGAAGACCATTCATTATTTCCTTATGTTTGTTGTTGATTGATCTATGACGAAAAGTTTATTGCTCCAATGATGAAAAACATAGATCAATAAACATCAAACGTTGATTCAATGAATTTTTTCATCACATGAATAAAAATAATGATTAACTTTTGATGTTTTTCGTTCATTGTTCAATGTTGGCTCGTTCATTGTTTCAGTGTCTTGCGGTATGAACCCATCATCAGAAATGATTGTAATAATCATCGATTCGTAATATTAATGTTCAAAAAATTGACGACCGCCGTTCATTAATTTTACGTACAAAATTATTTTCTGTGTAGCAATCTGACGACGACTCCAGTTTGCAGGATGATGAAGAAGAGATTCAAGATCACAACAATTTACCTTCAAAATGTGTAAATATACTAACATTGAATGTTTCTATATAATTTTTTTTGCCAAGACTGATCTAGGTCTGCATGGTTCTCATTCTTTTTTCAAACAAAACAGATGTGAGCGTAATATATCAATCAACGTCGCGACGTTAGTATGGTACATGAACCAACGTTAGTAGTGGAAGGTTGAGTTATTCCAAAGGATAGAAATGTAGCTTTACTATCGAATTTTTTATTAAAATAGAATTCGTGACATAATATGTGCCAAAAAAAGGATCGTCTCATGCCCAAAACACCATGTTTTCAAATGGTACCATGATGGTACTCTGACCTCATTCGAAAGTACCATCGATTTGGTATCATGAGTGTGCGCCACTCGCTAGCTGAAATTACTTTTCCCATATTGTTAAAATAATATCCAACCAATGTGCTGTCAAACTTGAAAATATAAAATATCATTTTTACCTGTGAGATCGATATCACAAAAATATTTTGATACCAATATTGTTGAGAAATATCGAGAACAATATGTGGACGATGTTGTTCACCGAATATTAGTGAAAAATTTTTGGAAAATATTCATAGATATTTTGTTCCACCTCTGATTTTCGGATTATTCAACCAATATTGCTATGATATTGTACTCGATAGGATAGGTTGAGCCAATTGTTATTAAAAATTTCTGTTTTGTTTTCTTGTTGTTTTGCATCATTCCTTCATATTGAACCAATATTGTTTCCATATTTTCTGATGCCGATATAGAATCAATACCCTGAAATTCTATTTTCGACCAAACACTTTCAGCTATATTTCAATATTGATAAAAATCAAAGGTTCTCATACACCTTGTATCAACTAAGATTTCCCCGCCCCATATAGTTCCATGAACGAATGCCAAAATGTAGAAACAAAATACCGATACAAGAATTCATTAGAGTAAAATGAAATATTTCTCCCTAATATCTCACTTATTGATAATACGATTTTTTCTGACAATCTGATTCATGTATGAAAAATCCCACAAGCTGCGTGATTTTGTCATTATGACAGCGAAAAAAGTTTGCCCTAACTTTTCCATCGAAAATAACGGAACCTAACTTTTGAAAGCAGGACAACTAGCCATGAACAAATGTTTGATGAATTGAATTGTCTTACCGAATAACACTTTAGCTTTTTTTACGTCGAAGTGAACTTGGCATTTATAATTCTAATTTTGTTGCAATTAGGTGATTCAACTCAAAAAAACAATACTCGTCCTACGGACTCGTAATTTTTTCACAGGAAGTTTTTTCGTCAAATTGCCAGGCAACAAAATCCTTATTGATGCATGTCAAGTTCACTTCGACAAAAAAAAAGCTCTCGTGTGATTATGAAAAAAATTACCGAAAGCCAGGACAGTGCGACGTCGTTTCTTTCATAAAAAATTATTTACTGATGCAGCTAATTATTTTCTCATATTTCGTTTAATGACCTCATTTTTCAAAATAATTACCTAACTTTTTGCGATAACCAAAATTATCATACCGTCTTGCAATTTCAGGATGAATATTTCTTTCGTTTGTCCAAGGCAATGATTTTATAACACGTGCCAATATATCAAAAAGGTAAACATTGCTGAACAGTTATTGTGAACACAGGCTGCTCGCTATAATGCATCTTTCAAAAATATATGTTCAATAACATTCTCGATGATTAGAATAATTAATATGTTATGTCAAACTGTGATACTTCGCTACTTTCGCGAGACTCTCGTGCGAGATTTGAGACGAGACTTCTTAAGAGGCTTCGTCTTGTCTGGCAAAAAAAAATTTAAAGTATCGTCTTTGTTCTCGGAAGCGAGACAAAACGATCGAGTCTCTCGCAAGCGAGAATATCGTGAACATCACTAGTAGTCGCAAAAAACTCCATATAAAAAATGTTTCATTCATTTTTCACAGGGGATGGAAGAATCGAAGGAAACATGGAACCTGCTCATCCCAGTGACAACCAACTATACTCAGTAGCATCTGAAGCGATACTAAAGAGCATAATTTGGCGATGTTGATGAATAATATATTTTTTCGGTTACTTTTTACGTTGAACATAAATTTTACATACCATTGAACTGTATTTTGGATACATACATGTCGATCTTTTTATCCCTTATTGTATCTCAGGATTTATTGATTGTAGACAAAAAATGAATGAAGCATTTTTTATACAAATATTCATAAGGTTTATTTTGTGGAAATTGACATTCCTTCTGATAGAGGCCGCGATTTTCGAGAAATCATATTTAAGAACAACGTGAAAAAATTGCCATCATACGCTCCCCTACCACCCCCTCCCCCACCCCTCGATACACGATTCTTTTTCCTATTGTTTGTTTGTTTACTGAACTGATAAATAATATCCTACTAACTCGATATTCAGAAATCTCCGTAGTTGTTCAAAGTTATCTCATGAAACCCAGTATTGGTAAATTCCCATAAATTTAGTCAAACATAAATGATAAACCGGGTTTCCCAGTTCATATAAAACAATCAATGTGAACACTTTGATATGACTCTTCATATTTAATCTGGGACATAGAGTATATTTGTGATCCTTACTGGAACATTCGGATTCGAACTCGCAGTACTATTCGTCATTGCTACAATCGCGACAGATAATTGCACCCTCGTCCCAAATGCAATCGTGATCAGCATAAATATGAAGAATACTTGTACATGGCGAACTCCAAATCGTGGACCTGAAAAATAAAGGAAATATTCAACATGAAACATTTCATAGAATGCGTACATGCAACACATTAACACATTTTCATTATATATTCGTCACATCAGTGCACCAAGAAGAAGAGGGAAGAAGTACAAAATTTCAACTATTCATTTTAATTAAACCTATTATAGTTCCAGTGAAAACGACTGATTCGCAAGATTAGATCATTGAATGACCATTATTTCACAAAACTGTTTGTGTTCCACCCGAGGTTCCACCTCAGATATCATATTCAAAATAAACACATATTCTTGAATAACTCTGTAATCATATGGAAAATCCAAGCCAATCACATAACCTCGAATAATAAGTTCATTATGAACATGAGTTGCATGAACTGGTACCTCACGGCTAGTGAAAATGTAATTCTAAAGTATTGAAAATGTAATTATAATGAATGTTGCATGAATCCGCTTTCAGTGTCAGATCATAGAATGATCATATTCACGTTTTGTCAAGATCTGTCACTAGTATATTGTGTAACAAGAGCAGAAAAAGAGCTTTAGCAGCCAGCGGCTATTAGCTGCACAAGCTATGCGAGGGCAGCTGGTAGCTAAGGCTGCTAAAGCGTTTTCTGCATGTGTGACACACAACTGTTTTTCGCCTACCAGAAACATAATAGGCGAGTGAACTGATTTTTGTTTATTTCTCAAATAGAATCAGCACTCGAATACCTTTCAATTTCATATGTTTCAAGAATTTCTTGGTCGTTTTTTGAGAAGCTTAAATCATCAAAAATGCCACGGTGATTTCCAAACGGCTAGAAATTTACCGCCAGTAAAAACTGACACCACTATTACGTACCCTAGTAACACACTTATGTCCCATGTATATCCTTCCCAATCAGCCAAAGTACGTCTTAAAGGCGTCTTTAAGACGTACATGTCGGGACATAAGTACGTCTTAAAGACGTACATATTACGCCCAAGAGACGTCTTTAAGACGTCTTTAAAACGTACATTTTCCACTAATATGTACGTCTTTAAGACGTCTTTTTTAGGTGTTTTTGGTCCATGACCTCAAATTGATCTTTCAAATTACGGAGAAAATCACATAGTTTCAGTTGATTTTCACCTGTGCACTGAAGTTAGCAACAAGTGCAGACAAGCAAAAAAAAGGTAAATAAACGACTTCATCAAACGGTAGACACAAGCGGTCACCCATTCAAGTACTAACCGCGCTCTTTGTTGCTTGACTTCGATGATTATACCATATTCACTTCTTCTGTTACTCTGTTTGTTCTATATATCACATAACAAGCTTTTACTTAGTTTAACATGTCCTTGTGTCTGTTTGTAATCAAAACGTGCAAGTTAAATTTGACTCACTTTAAATCGTCCGATTGATTTGAAATTTGGCAAGTAAATATTATTCCGGTGACAATTCGTTGTGATATTATTATTGAATGGAAAAAACAGAATGGCGGATCCAATATGGCGGACGATGTGGCATATGGTTTTCTGATTATGGTCTGATCTGATTCAAAATTGGCATCTGAAGAATTTCGGGATCAGAGATTATAATTCCTTTTGTCGAAAATGAAAAATCCAAGATGTCGGCTTCAAAATGGCGGACGAGTTTCGTGATTATAGTCCGATTTTATCCAAAATTGATTACTATATGGGACTTTTGGGGTCGGAGAATATGATTTTTTTGTAAAAATTCGAGAATCTAACACGAAGGCTCCAAAATGTCGGACGAAAAAATTCAAAAACATCACTTTTGTTGAAAATAAGAAAAAACTGAACAATTGAAAATAAAAAACGTGAAGAGATGACATTTTGTTTTTCTTCAGAAAATAACTTACATTATTGTTCTATAAGTCGAATTGACGTACTGGAATGTACGTCTTTAAGACGTCTTTTATACGACATGGGAGGTACGACGTGGAAACGATCTAAAATGTACGTCTTAAAGACGTAAATTCGTGTACGTCTTTAAGATGTACATGGATTTACATCTTAAAGACGTACTTTATACGTCCCTGGACGTAGAGACGTAAGTAAGTCGTAAAATGTACGTCTTTAAGATGTCTGGTGCTGATTGGGTTAGGACGTCCTGTCGGGACATTCAGGACGTCCATAGGACGTTCGGATTTGGTACCGTGGACGTCCATCGGACGTCTGTGGGACGCACTAATGTCCCACTTGAGGACCAAAGAGGGGCGTCCTCGAGGGATGTCCCTGGGACAACTATCGAATACCTAAATCCTACAGTATTCCTCATCAAGCACTACAGAGGACATCCTTAGGACATCCATAGGACAAACTATCAGCAACGCTGAGGGATATCAATTGGATGTCCATTGGATGTCCCAGGGACGTACGAATTATTCTTGAATTTGAATTTTTCTGGGTGCCTCTAGGGCCATATCTTGCATAACTGATTATAACATCCAGTTGAGATGATGGTCCGTAGAAGGTCCCCAAAAAGTTTCCCAAGGATGACCAATGGACTTACGTGGAGGACATTGACGAGGAGTACTTATAGCCTACGAGCAATCATTCGTCGGCGAGGTGTAAGTTAACGTCCTTGCAGGGACAACATGTTGAAAGTACCGACTGGGACGTCCATAGGACGTTATTTCTAGGACATTAGACGAGTACAGGGACATTTCGATTTTTATACAATCCTGGAAATATTAAGGGCGTATGTGCAGAGATATTTGAAGGAATCTACCATCAGAGACAAGGACATCCTTGCATGGACATTTTACAATATGTACCACGTGACACGTCTAAGGGATGCTATTCCTAGGACATTTGAAATGATGTACCAGCTGGAACATTCCGTGGACGTCCTTGCTCGGACATTGCATGAGATGTACGTGATGGGACGTCCCAAGGACACTTATTTTTGGTTCGGGACACTCGGACGTGAATTGTACCAAATAAGGACGTCCCTAGGACGTTGTGTGCTATTAGGGTAAGTAGGGGCAGACCATAGCACAGTTGCCATGTGTTGAAATACAATTGGGAACTTCAGAAATATTAGTTATTCAATAATTATTCATAAATTCTCAGTTGAGTATTGGTAATATTCCTGATCAACAATAAAAATTCAATTGTCTCAAAACGGTCTCTTTTGTTTTGTGGCTTATTGCTTATAACAAATGTGTGTAAATAATAATTATATTAATTCTCATCAGAGGACAATTGAATCGGTGAAGGTGACAACCCCGCGCACGACTTGTGGGCGTGGTCTTGTCAGTTCTCAGCATTCAGCACAATGTTGTCAAGTATCCTACATTCACATGATATTTTGTTATGCATGGAAAACAAGAAATATTTGAACATGCTGGTTGCTTGAAAGAGTCAAGAATGAACTATAATGTCCATACTGCGTTCTCGTCCAGAATTCCCATTTCTTCCCAGGAAACTAAGAACTCACGGCGCAGGCAGGTCAATGCTGTCAATGGAGACCTTGCTGAAATCACAGCCTGGGGAACCAACAACCTAGTTGAATTCAACGCCACCAAAACTCAAGCCTGTATTTTCTCTAGAAAGGCGGAAATATGTATGCCCGACATTGTAATGTCTGGCACCACCATCCCCACCAAGCCCACCATATCTATGCTCGGTATTTCCATCAGCAACACTCTTTCATGGGATAATCATGTGAGATCCATCGCAAAAGCTGCTTCACAAAAACTCGAATTCTTGTTCCGTGCGAAAAGCTACTTTACACCTCAACAGCTCCTCATGATCTACAAAGCGCAGATACGGCCTGTTCTAGAATACTGTTCCCACATATGGGGTTCAGCACCAAAACATACGCTGATGCTCTTAGAGGAGGAGGAGATCCTCCTATTATATATGTATTATACAACGGCAGGGCTCAAACATCTTTTTGATAACTTGATTATAATTGGTGACTTGACAACTTTGCTTCATGAGTGGAAATGTATGATTATCTGACCAATAACGATACAGCATGAGAACTGAGGTCACCATCTATTCGACGTATTGCCAAATGGCGGCTATGACGTTACGTTTGAAATGAGCTCTGGAATTCAACGATTTTGAACAACCTATAGACATATTATTCACATAAACAAAGCAGGAGAAGTGTTGCAAAAATCAATTTAGGTTCCTAGCGACACAGTGGGGTAATTGAATGCCATAATAATTCATTATCAGATCAAATAGAATTATCACTCAAATACCTCTCAATGTCATATTCTTTCAGAATTTTTTGGTCGATCACAAGGTGCTGAAATCATCAATGATGCCACAGTAATTTTCAAATGGCTACCGCGAGTAAAATCTGATGTAACGATTTCGTGAGTCGGGGCGAAGTTGCCATGTGTTGTAATACGATTGGAACTTCAGAAAAATTATAGTTATTTAATAATTCATTAATTCTCAATTATGTATTGGTATTATTTCTAATTATCAATAAAAAATCAATTGTCTCAAAATGTTCCCTCATGTCTTGTGGCTTATGGCTTATGAAACATTTGTGTAAATAATAATATTATTACAACATTAATTCACACTAGAAGATATTCGAACTGGCAAACGTGACAACACGGCGCACGAATTGTGGACGGTGACTTGTCAGTTTTCAGCATTCAGCACAGTGTTGCCAAGTCTTCAACATTCACATGATATTTTGTTATGGAGTATAAGAAATATTTGGACATGCTGGTTGCTCGGAAAGGTCAAGAATAAACTATAATATCATGGCTTCTTCCTATTATGTTTTATCTAGGGTTTTATTCAACGACAGGACTCTAATCTCTTTGATAAAATCATCATAATTGGTGACTTGAAATCCTTGCTTCATGTGTGGAAATGGAATATTATCTGACCAATATCAAAACAGCATAAAAACTGACGTCACTATTCATTCGACGTATCGGCATATGGCAGCCATGACGGACGTTTGAAATGATCTCTGAAATTCAACAATAACTTTGAACAAAGCATGAAATCTTTATTTACATGAAAAACCGTGAAAAGTGTTGCTAAAATTAATTTAGGTCCCTAACGACACAGGGGAGTAATTGAATGCCAATAATTCCTTGGCGATAACTATTCGGCAGGGCGAGAAGTTACTTTGCTGCCTAGGCATACAAATAACCAACTATTCTGTAGCGATCATGCAATAACTGATGGGTATATACCTACATGAAGTATAAGGTTCCAATAAAACTTCATTGATATGCGCATTCAGGTTTCCCAGTGAACACGAACATGTTTGGGGAATGTCGCATCCATATCTGGTAGAGTAAAGAAGCGAATTATAATAAAACATCTATCCAGGGGATTTTTTTCCTTGATCATTCTCAATATTCAACTCATTATGTTGGATAGGAATATGTGAAGCCCTTCAATAAGCTTCGAGATAATGTTTACTAGAATCAACATCAAATTCGATGTTGAATAAGGAATCGCATCACAATGTGAATCACAAAATAAACAATAGGGTCCGTAGAAGAGCAGTCATTGTGATTTCAGTGAGACTCTCAATTCGAGTCACGGGTGTGATGTGTGATAAAAATGTTATGCCTTCTGACCCCTCTGGGACCAATCTGTGTTAACTGATGGGTTCGAATAGTAATAATCTGACGACTTCCCGAAACGTCTGAAGCTTTGTGAAAATTCGATATTTTTTCGAAACATTGGCGACTTCAAGATAGGCGATTGGATTTTTTTTTTTTAATTCCCAAATAAAATTATCACTCAAATACCTGTCAATTGAATTTTTTTTTAGAATTTTTTGGTCGATTTGAAGGTGCTAAAATTATCATCAATACACAGTAAAAAAAATAGAGTGGAATTTAACACTTTATAAGTTCCCAGGAGGACCACTAAGCTATAGAGTAAATGATTCAACTCTATAGTTTAGTATAGTATATATTATAGTGTGATTTTCTCAATTCAATTAGTGTAAATATTCAATGCGAGCACATTGAAACTTGCTCTATTTATTTCTCTGAATATATTGAATAAACTTAAAAATATAGTTGAAAGAAACAATTTCGAAATTGAATATTCCACTCAAGACCCAAGCTAGTGTCAATATCATCACTTTAGAGTGAAATTCAATAACTGAATATTACATAGTCACAAAAGTTGAGAGTTGTAATATTAGTAGAGAGTAGTTTCCACACAATCAACAGTGTCGGATCCACCGGAAATTGATTGAATTTTTAACTCTACGTGGATGTCAAGTTGCTCCTGCTCTGTTCAAATTGACACTACTATTTGTTTAGGTGCTAATAAGGAGTTATCATTTATTCATCATTTTAGATTGATATAGAACACTAGTTGAGTAAACTAGTCACCACTTCCTGTTGAGATCTCATCCAAGTTAAATTAATCATTCTTCCACATGTCACAGTATTTATAGGCCCCCCCGATCGACAGACGTTCAGCGGCGAAATCTCCGCAGCGCCATCTGTATGCAGTGGCGCGAATTGACGGATGAGAAGTATAGTGTGACTTTATAATATTTTAATCGTTTGATATTCGAAAAATGACTCGAGTCCCACTAGACGAATTAGTTAACCTATATATGTTTCATAAATCGTTCGAAATAATAATTCGAAACAGAAAAAACTCAAAAAAAATGAGATAGGTATACGGAAATACGTTCATAACTCGATGTTGAAAAAAATTTCTCATTACGCGGGTATAGTAAAAAAGCTACTTGAAGTTGCTATCATGATCATTATATCATCGACATTATAATCTGTATTACTTATTTCACTATCTAGTGAACTGGACGATCTGAAAATGTATAGATTGATATTTCATCGTATATTGATTGAATTGGACAATGATAGAGTGTCAATTTAATCGACAAGAGTGGAATATTCAAGTTCACTAGTATCAGTAAACACTAGTATGAATTCAATTTCAATTGTTTGTGAATTGAGTTATCTGAATTGCTATTTTATCAAAATTTCAGGAATATAGAGTGAATTCAATACGGCATTAGTGAAAATTCAATCAAGAATTAGTTTTAATAGAGATAATCTGCGAGAAGTGTAGTTTGCCAGAGTATTTCAACTCTAAAAACATACTCTGCGAATTCTACTCGAAGCTTTTTTTTACTGTGTAATGCCACGGTAATTCTAAAGGCTAGAAATTTACCGCGAGTAAAATCTGACGTAACGATTTTGTGAGTAGCACAGTTGCCACATGATTTTTCAAATATCCATGAGCCTTTTCTTGCACTGACATCACTTTCCATAATAATTCAACACACCCTCATTGACATAATATTGCAGTATGATACACAGGTTAGTGAATGTCCCTCTTTCGGAAGTAAATTTCAATAAAGAACTCAATATCATAAAACAGATTGCAGTCAACAACGGATACAACATCAATTTGATAGACAGTATTCTTTTTAAAAAAACTTCATGATAAAGCTATTCAAGAAGTTCATCTTACCATCCAGAATAATAATCAAATTTATAGAACCTTAACATATTTCGGATCATATCAACTGGAATATTAGCTCCAGTTCCACATAAACAGGACTTAGAAGTAGCATATAGAACAAATAATACGTAAGGAAGGTTTATCAGAATTAATAAGGACAAAACTTCTGAATTCGACAAATCAGTGGAATACAAACTCAACTGGGGATCTTGGGTATATCAGGTCAGACAGGTCGTACGTTTAATCAGCGCATTCATGAACATAAAATGCCTTTTTTGAAAAAGAAAACAAATTCAACATACGCCAACCACATATCAGGAGATAGTTTTGATGATAATTTCGAAAATCTACACTAAACTCAATCATTTTGAATCATTAGAGATGAGCAAACTCAAAAATTCTGACATTTCACTCAACAATCAATTAGACCTCAATAGTTCACCACTGTTGAATTTGTTTTCTTACTACACCGAATTTCTTGTGCATAATTTTCGAAAATGAAGGTTTATCGAAACTGTCCACGGGTTACTTATCCTTCAAGTTGGGAAAGTGGGATATACAGGGTGTCCCATGAGTACTGGATCAAAAGAAGTATGGGGTGGTAGGAGTGGTCATTTCCAATCTAACCGTATATGTGGTTACCAATTATTGATGGTTCGAAAGTTATTAAGGTTTTTTCATTCCTATAAAAAGAATTAATAACAATAAAACTATGTCACACTTGTGATTTTTTCTTTCACAATTTCCATCCACATGGATGCACCTTTCCCCAGAAATAATTTGATGACATATATTACTTCCATCAATTACCTGAGAAAAATTTTGTTTTCCTTGAGTTTTGTTAGCGAATGAAATTTATTCAAGTCGATTTTCAAATGCCGCTGGCAGATTTGAAAACTACCCCACAAAGATAACCAATTATAAGAAAAAGTTGCCCATTTAATGCAGATTTCAAAAGAGTATAACATATGTGGTTATTCAAAACAGCCTTTTTGTTATTAATTTTTTTGAAATGAGTCGCATTTTTTTTTTTTAAATTGAATAACTTTTGAACCATCAACAATTTGATAACAACATATAACGTTAGTTTGATTACAAATGACCCCCTCTACCACCCCACTTCATTTGATCCATTTTTTATGGGACACCCTGTATAAAAGCTGAATAAGCCAAGTTTGAGTTAGTTCATTGTACCAGTATATCCCCTGACGAAGCTACTGTGTTAGCGGAACATGTTGTGTGCCTAAGAATTTTGTGGAAATCTTATCGTTTGTGAACTTTCTACATTTGCCATGGATTTCCATCGAGTAACGACCGAGTCAATTCAAAAAATAATAAATAAGTTTCAACAAATTTTCCATTAAATTATGAAATCTTTCAGTAGATCATTAGATCAATATGCAAATCAGGAGATTCGCTGAAAATTCAGTAGAACTGGCTACCCTGCAACGGACGAGTAGTGTTTTCGGACGAAAAGTTATAGTGTGTGCGGACGTTTAGTACTTGCCTTCGGAAATAGTCGGTTTTTCAATTGTTTCGTAATTAAAAATCTCAGTGATGCCTATACTTTTGGTTTGGATGTATGACAAATTGATGTTCATCATACAGGGCGTGCAAAGAATTTCTGAATCAAGAAAACCCAATCCTTAACGTTGTACCTATGATACAATAAATATGCAGTATCCTTCATTACGAACATTTGAATACTAGCATAATAGATGTTTTATCTTTATAGTTATAGGTACCTACTTCCATTACAATATTTCACTCACCGTTTAGGGGTATAGCTGAACTTTCATTTTCCATTTTGGTGTACTTTTAGATCACTAAATTCTGAGCAGTTCATGACCTAATCATTTCCACTGAGACACTGCGCACTCCAAGCTTCTATCAAGATTACTAGGACAGTAACTATAGGTAATAGATCTAAGATCATTGAACACACTTATACCTAAGTGCTTGTTCAATTTGTCTATCTGATATTTCCTCGTGATACGTAGTTTTTAATTCCTGATTGCGAACTATGGATTGCATGGGTGGTCTTTGTGGGGTAAGACGAGGGGGCAGCCTCATTTTAAACTGTTCTTTTAATGGCTCAAAATGCACAAATTTATGCTCAAATTGTCATGATTCTGAAAAATGCACCAATGTTGAAGAAAAAACCTACGAGGAAGTTAGTGTTTCAGATGAAATTGTGGATGAAGGACCAATAATTCAGACTGAAAATAATATTGGATACGAAGACGGTGATGGTCTTGCAGATTTCGAAGATCTAGGTACTAGAATCGGGTAGGTTTGTCGAATTTGACGATGAAGAAATGCCACTGAAGAGACAAAAAGTAATGAATAAGTGATTAGGGTTCAAGAAAAGATTTATAAATAAGAAGATACATGCATTTAAAAATATTATTATGAATAATAATAATCAGTATTAAGTATCTAATTTCAATAGTACGATTTACATTTATATTCATATATTATGAGATTTATTATGACATAACTGAATTATAATTCAATGAACAACTTTTTGACTGGAGATAATTGCAGCAATCACATTTTTTTGTTGAAATCCCCCCTTTAAATTCTATCTTCAACATCTAGAACAACTATTTTCGCATGTTTCTTGCAATCTTTATATGATTTATGAATTTGTAATTTTTTTTGTTTTCCAATATAACATAGAATCTTACGTTTTTTAAGAAATTATAAAGTGAAAATTTCACAAAATAGCTCAAAATGGTACATAGTGATTAAAATAATTCAGATTCGAGTACTGGTCAGCACTGGTCTAATAATAAAAATATTGCAGAAAAATGTGACTTCGAAATAAATATTGCCTGCGAACAATTTCCATCTGCAGCTAAACTGCAGGTCGTCTTCCTGAAACGAATTTCTGGATACGCGATACGACCGAAATACTATCTCTATATCGAGAATCAGTTGGAAAAAATCCATGAAAATATTTCTTTCTCCGATTTGCAGCAAATATTAATTTTGCTGACACATATCAATCAGCAAAGTATTAATTTTTCTGCCTAGGCAGCAAAGTAGTTACTTTGCTGATTAATATGTATCAGCAAAATTAATAATCCATGAATCGTTTTCGTACAACTGTCAGAAATTTCATGAATTGTCAAACTATAATTATTACGGACATTTCCATAGCAACCAACCATTCCAACAACTGCGATTTCTATCAAATTTTATTTCAATTCAACACTACAGGAAAAATAAAGAGATATACAAGGTGATTCTAAAATAGGTGGTCAAACTTTGGGAGTATATAGAGTGAGTGAAATAATTACGGAAACCTTGGCAAATTTTTTTTCTGAAGTGCCCCCCAAGAAATATACAGCCCCTCAAAGGGGGGCCTCGGAGAATGATTTTGTATTATTATCTCCAACACCTTGTATGATGAAAATCTAAAATTTTGTTTATCCACTAACTAATCAGTGCCGGTTCGAATGGAGTTAAAATCACCTCAAAATTAAATACAGGGGTGTGTCAAAATAGGGGGGTAGGGGGTAAAAATAACCCAAACTTTTTTGTTCATCGCAATTTCAGTTTTTTTTACATGAAATTATGAAATCTCAATGCTATTAACGTAGAAAAGGAGCTCTTGTTGAATCACGATAAAATGAACCATTAGCGAATAAAATTTATTTTTCCAAAATTTCATTTAGATTGCAATTTTGTTATGCACTTAAGTTTAATTATCTAGTTCAAATCTTGCAACTGAATTTTTACCTACTTCTACAACTTGGAATCTGGCAGATGACAGTTGACAACGGGTTATGGACTTTTTGATAGAAAAAAATATGGCGGCTCCAATGTGGCTGACCAGATTCGTGATGGTCCGATTCGATTCAAAATTGGTTTTTAAGGGTTTTTGGGGTTGGAAATTTTGAATTCGTTGTCGGAATTCATGAATTAAAAATAGACTACGAGTTTGGTGATTATGATCCTATTGAAAATACTAAAATAAAAAATATTGATAAAAACAAGCTTTCATTATTTTAACTATTGAAATAAAAAATGAGAGAAAATGAGGTGAAAAAACACAAGCCCTTATTCAAATGCTCTGAAAATGAGGGAATGAATAGGATCAGTTCATAATAACAAAACTCGTCGGCTATTTTGATTCCATGAATTCCGACAACGAATTCTAAATTTCGAACCCGAAAAAACCTCACATACCAATTTTGAATCGAATCGAACCATAATCACAAATCTGGTCAGCCATATTGGAGCCGCCATAACGCATTGTCAACTGTCATCTGCCAGATTCCAAGTTGATCAGACGATTAGGAGTAGGTAAAAATTCAGTTGCGAGATTTGACCTAGATAATTAAACTTAAGCACATACCAAAATCGCATTTTAAATGGAATCTTGAAAAAATAAATTTTATTCGCTAATAGTTCATTTTATCGAGATGCAACAAGAGCACCTTTCCTATGAAAATAGCCCTGAGATTTCATAATTTTATGTCAAAAAACTGAAATTGCGATGAATAAAAAAGTTGGGGTTATTTTTACCCCCTACCTCCCTGTTTTGACACACCCCTGTATTCAATTTTGAGGTGATTTTAACTCCATTCGAACCGGCACTGAATAGTAAGTGGATGGACGAAATTTCAGATTTTCATTATACAAGGTGTTGGAGATAATAATACAAAATCATTCTCCGAGGCCCCCCTTTGAGGGGCTGTATCTTTCTTAGGGGTCACTTCAGAAAAAAATGTTACGGAGGTTTTCGTAACTATTTCACTCACTCTATATGCTCCCAAAGTTTGACCACCTATTTTAAAATCACCTTGTATATCATTATGAACAATCGGAGAAAAAATTATATGTTCAACTCGGCAGCAAAGTAGATTGACTGCCTTAGCTGGATTCCTAGCCTCGCTACGCTCGGCTATGAATTCAGCCTCGGCAGTCAATCTACTACTTTGCTGCCTAGTTAAACAAATAACTATAGAATACGCTCTCTTCATTCACAATATTTTAAGCAATGCCGCTACCATCAAAAAGTAGCAACCACTTTGTTACTTCAAATGGAGTACTCTGTATTTCATTACATTTTCAGATATTTTTCTGAAGAGCTGATCCCATCGATACATCACACTTGGGGTTTATCGGAAATGATTACAGAGATATTATAGGGTGTTCAAAATTGAGATTTTTCAACTATAGAATTTGATTTTGTCGAAACTTTTCATTATTGGCCAGATTGGCTCGCATGTCTCTGTCTCAATTCTTGATTCACTATTTACTGATACTTGATCGGGACAGATACAGAGTAATCAGAATACTGAATCTTGAACCACCATGTAGCTGTTCCGATTGAATATCAGTGAATAGATAATCAGAAGTTGAGATAGGGACATGTGAGCTGTTTTGACCGATAATGATTAGTTTCGACACAAAAAATCCAAAAGTTGAAAAATCTTGATTTTGAACACCCCATATCTCTGTAATCATTTCCGATAGACCCCAAGTGTGATACATCCATTAAAACAGCAGCAGCAGGGAAAATCTAAAAATGTGATAAAATACAGAGCAGCAGGGAAAATCTAAAAATGTGATAAAATACAGATTGTTCCATTTGAAATATCAATGTTGCTAATACTTTCTATTAGAAGCGGCAACACTGTATGGTCAAAAATAATTCAAATGAAGAGAGCGTATTCTGAAATATGAGTGCACATTTTCATGGATTTCTCGTGACTGATTCTCGATATAAAGATAGTGTAAGCTCGTCGCGACATACCCTGTATATGGCCCGGTAGCGCAATAGATACCAAGAACGCTAATCATGATGCAATATTGTAAATATCTTTTGAATTAACGATTTATCAGGAACAAGTAACAAGCATATCAAATCAATTCGAGGAAAAATTATTGACATGAATTTCGATCGCCAAAGTATAGATAAATATCATGTTTTTCTACAAACGCTTAACAAAGTTGCCTTTGACGCTTTCCAATTCCAGCACAAAGTTGACGTTTTCCCAGAAATGTCATTCTTTGACAGCATTTGCGCTCGTGAGCGAAAAAACGCTTGCACATCTCTGTAACCTATACTTATCTATTCTTGAAAACCCCCAATTCTTTCATGATGGAAAATAGTGACAGTGAATCATCAAACACGCCTCCTGATGATATAGCAGAAAGCGCAAGAGTTTGAATCTCTTATACCGAAGAAATCAAGGCAGAAATATGAATTACAATAATTATGATACATTCATAAATTGGTGCCACTCCGAGATGGTGAATATGTATTCAGAAACCGTTTTACTGGCTTATTTTGGTAAAAAATCAAAGACTTTGAAGTCATCAACTCATTGGTCTATATATTCGATGGTACGTATACATGCTTGAATGTTAAAAATAATATTTTGGAATCAATAAGTATCTGAAACTTATCGCATTTCTCAAGAAACAATCTATTGGATATAAAGCGAGGAAAATCCAAAACATTCACCGCTGAATATACCAACAAATTTCTACAAGAAGCTCCCGGTGAAGCATCTGTTGAAAACGATGAATTATACTTTATATTTGAACTCTTTGTTGTCATCAGAGAGACAGTGTATCTTTATTTTATTGCATCAATGAGTAATGTTCAATTTGATTGCAGAGTTTATGGCTCAGATGTCTGAAGCCCAGGTTGCCACGCTGGTGGTCCAGTTTCAATTCTCGGTAGGCCCGACATTTTTTTTTCTGGTTTGTCAGTTATTTCAATTTTCCTTTTTTTGTTTCCTTTGGACATATGGGATAATATGGACAAGAACTTTTTCAACTATTTCAATCGCTCATACTTTCAGGGTAGTTATTTCCAAAAGCTGCGTTAGTAAAAAAAATCTTGTGTGTATTTCGAGCACAAAGTGTTATTGCCGCTCTTCAAAGATTACTTTCTTCGTCGAGCGGCAATCTAT